AAAAAAAAAAAAAAAAGAACATAAGAATCTCATTCAGAAATATGGTATAGTGAAAAGAATATGGCATTAACAGATCAAATATATCATAAGAAGACTGAAAAAGATATGTGCCGTTCTTTGATTTTTGAAAATGAGACATCCATGCAAGACTCGAGAAGATATCCATTACTCAAATGTCATAGTAGCAGCAGATGTTCCTCAAACTCCTTCAGACATCATATATGAAGGCTCACAAACATTAAATCATGTAGGTATCTCTACATTATGACAATGCTATCATTTTGCACCTATTTGAGCCGTGTTAGTAAATCAAGCAAGCATAAAATGCAAAACATTTTGGAATAGTAAGAGCCATTGAAACTTTAAGTATAAAACCACTGCAATAAATGTTGGAATAGCATTAGGCCATTACGCTTCCTTTTCTCCATGTCCTCCCGATTACTAATAGGATGCTTTTCTCCAGTACATGCAACAAACGCATCCAGTGTGTCATTGTAGCAATTGTGCACAAGATATGAGATAATAATCTTGTTGATGTCGTTATCATTCAACCCCTGCCAGGAAAATAAACACCACAAGCATCGTAATTTACAGAAATAGGCAGATACAATAATCCATAGTAAAAAAAACACTGAACCCCCTTGGCCTTCAGCGAGTTTGACTATGTTTTTCAGAACCTTTCTGTGATTCTCGGATACATTGTCAAACATGAAGAATCTAACGAGAAGAAGTATTACTATTTCAACCAAGACATATGGAGAAAGACAGCCATCTAACAGAGAGATCGTAAAATCTGTTGAGCAGGGTTACTAGAACACCAATAGTAATACGACATTTCCTTGAAGTGCAAATGTGGATAGAAGCAAAATATATATTAGCTCAAGCATTCTTCTATTGCGTTCAATTTCGAATAACAGGGCCATGGCATTTGTCAATATAACAAAGACCGATGAATAACCTAACCAAACCGAAAAGACAAATTTATTCTTTAAAGAGTCGGTGGTGTGAGAAAGGACTGGTGGGCTAGGTAGTTGAAAGGCTCGAGCTTCAGCAATCAAACCCTAACGAACACCTGCCGATTATGAGCAAGAAAATATATGCACACGAAAAGTTTCACAGCAATTCTCCTCACCCTAAGTCTGCACTCTGCAGGATACACGAATAGCACAGGACCGATGTTCATTATGAACGCTATATCGAACAGAAGTTCAAAACAGACTCAAGAAACAACAGAATGTCTACACAACAGAAAGACTACCATTGTCAAGTATCAACTAACAAACATGAAGCCGTTAAACTTCATGCTCCTTTACAAAATCAAATAAATATAAACTGAAATTCTTATTCAATAGTCAACAATACGTAGCAAATTCTCAATGGAGGCAAATAAACAAACACAAAACACACAGTGGATTAGAATTATAAACACAAAAACCCCACCAAAAAGGATAAACACAAGATAGTGACTAAAGAGTGTCTTACAATGTTCTCATACTGCCGCGGGTCAGCATCCATTTTCTTCACTTCCCACAGCGCAAAATTTCCTCTTTCTAATCTTTTAATGGCGAAAGAGAAGCAGACAATTTTCAGAAACTGCAAAATCCAAAATACTTATACACCTGCGATTGTGGGGCGACGGCATGAAATCAGGGATTCTCCAAGCTTGGGTTTACTAATGGCGGCCCGTCTGAATTTCGGCCCGAATACAATCTCTCGCAAGGATATCTAATGTAACCTTATGTTCATATATTTGTAGATTAAAATTAACATATAAGACTTCAACGGTTGACAAGTTTAACGGGAGGAGGAGCGGCCGCGAGAGGTGCTAGTGGATTCCTTTCCGGCGGCGGAGGACCCCTTTTTCTCCTCACTGTCTGCGTCTCCGTTGAGTTGGTGTGGTGCTATCATTTTCTTTCTGCCCGTCATTATAGATTTCATTTACTGTTAATTTCTAGCTATTTGAAAGTTAAGTTGTTATCTTAACGAAGTTGGGCCAAGCCCATATGTTTGACGGGCCTGATCGTGATCTACTGTTTGACCCTAATTCATTACTTGTTTGAAGCATACTAATATTTGTAGTACATGACACTTCGAATATTAAAAAATTAAATATATAAATAATATGAATCATTATTTATTCATTATTTTTTAAAACTAGATAGTCCAACCAGATGGACCAAGAGCCGATCAGTTAACCGATTTGATTCACTTGAATAAAACGTTTGCTATCAGTCAACACCAGTCTACCGGACTGGAATGATCGGTCTAATTTTATTTATATAATATTGTTTATAATAAAAATACATATTTAACTAAAATTGAGATATATAAAACAATTACTTTAAACATATGAATATTTTAAAAGTTTTAGACATTTAATTATTGTTTTTATATATAAATTTAATACAAAAGTACTATATAATAATATATAAAAGGGGTGGATCCAATGAGATCACTCCTTAGAATAAGTACATGAGATTCAATAGCCATTGATTTTGTTTAGATCAATGGCTCAAATTAACCAATTAAAACTTTAATTAAATAAAATAAAATTATAATGATTGAATTTAAATAACTATATAATAAAAAAATAAATATTATTGACCAGTCGCCAGACGCCGTTGATCGCCGGCGGCGGCATGCCGTTGACCGGTCGGCCAAGGTTTTTTGTTTATAGTTGAATCTCGCCAGCGATGCCAACCCCTGCAGCCGGTTAGTCTTAGCCACATCCGAATCTCGGTGATAACGCCAGCCACGAAATCGTCCCCTCGCGGCGCCTGGAAGCATTCACGGCGGCGTGCAGCCTCGAAAAACGGCAAACATGATGTGACTCGTGTGTGTCGACGATTGGGTTTGAGAGATTCGCGGCAGGCAGCATCAACTGACGGATTTGGTAGCGGAGGTTTTGGTCGAACAGTTCGCTCAGAGCCGGCATGGCTGGGGTCGGAGGTTGTGGACTCGACGACCATGGCAGATTTTTTCTTAATCGACCTCGACACATACTCGATTAACCATAGAAAGGACACATATGGCGCCCTCCTCAAACGCGCAACTCTAAGGAAAATTGCCGGCGGAGAGGACGGTAATATAAAGATTCCGATTTCAGAGAGAGGGCATCAATTTTGGGCAGGATTTCTTTTCGAAAAATAGATTATTCGGAGGGACCTAGTTGCAATTTAATAAACTCATTATTTATTTTAGTTTAATCCCTTAGTCTTTTTATTATAAAATAATGCTCATTTAATTTATTTCTTGTGCATATTTATGTAAGACGAAATGCATATTTAGTTATTACATAGTGCATACCTAGTTGAGAATATTGAGTTCAAGATATTGTTGTAAATTGCATTTTGACTGCACACGTAATGCATATTTAGTTCATACGAAGTGCATGTTTAGTTCATAAACGGTGCATACTTAATTGATATTATTGTTGCATATTTATTATATATTTAATTTGATATAATGAATTCAATAAATAATGCATATTTAATTAATTCATTATGCATATTTAGTTAATAAGAAATGCATATTTAATTTCAACCATAGTGCAAATTTATATATTCAAATTAATTATAAATACATGACACATATTTTGTTGATACAAAATGCATAATAAGTTCATCCATAGTACATATTAATTATATTTAAATCAATTATATACATGTTTACTTCATTTATGATGCTTGTTTACTTCATTTACTTCATTTCGTGTAAACATGTATGAACTATATAATACATCTTTCTATTGAGCCTCTTAAATTGGATAGATCTTTAATGGGTAGGCCGTATGAATTAATGTCATTTTATTTATTTATTATTATTATTATTATTTTTTTTTTTTTTTTTTTGGCGAAGTTTGAGTACTTTAACTACAAAATAAATGGCTTTAGGTAACAGAATCAAATGTAACACTTTACAAATATGTATCATATAAGTGTTACCAAAAACTACCAAAAGTATTACCTATTTGTAAAGTGTTACATTTGATGGTGCTACCTAAAACCATTTATGTTGTAGTATATAATAAACCTGTAACTCTTGAGAGCGAGCTAGTACCAACTGTGAAATTGAGCCTTACTTCGAGCACCATACGTGAATTTTACAATATATCTATCAATAATACAAGTCTCTTAAATTATTAGTCTTACAAAACGCTATTTTAAGCAACAATAGCGAATCGAAGACGAGATCACACTTGCGTACGTATGTTTTTTTAATGGATCAAACTTGGTCCTTCCACCTTTATACCGAATGACCAAGCTTGTTCCACCAAGATCGAACTAATTAAGCATATGCATAATTTTTGAGTTAATTATAATTCCAATCATTAAAATGAGTACATATGTGGATCTAATTAGTTTAGACTTTAGAGACATTCAAATATCGCTAGACGGCTCCACCAAAGTAAGAAGGCGGCCAAACGGCTCCACCACCGCCTTCGGTTATGTAAGACAAGCACGACAACGGGACTAGACACAGCCCTCGACTTCTCAAGTCCCATTTTGGCTCCTCCTTCGATTCGTTTTGATCCTAGCCAAAATTGTGTAAGTCACATATATACGACGTTCGAATTTGAATCATTTTAGTTTAACATTATGAAGAATATATATGAGAATCGCAGAGAAAGCATAGTTAAGTTGTCATCGTACCGTTTTGTCTAATTTAGTGGACTTGTTCCGTGATGCCTTCATGTAAGGGACGCTTAATGTCTGCAACAAAATAAGTATGTTTTAGCATAAACAAACAACAATTCTTTTTTCCTACTCGATATATAGGGAATGACTACAGTCCCGTTGACGAAATAGTTCCATCAGTGTTTGTTACCGTAGATTACCGACACAACATAATCTACATATGTATATCCAATGATGATAAACACTAACAGAACCATCCCGTAACGGAACCTTAGCATTTTCCCGATATACGATTTGGAAACGACCGCTTGAAGTTGGAAGCTTTGAATAATTGTAACTTATTACATAACAAAATAAAGAAATTTTGCTAGCAGTATAAATCAGTTAATTTGGTGCGATTTTACATGAATCGAAACAAATTAACTACAAATGTAAAATTAAAACCTTAAGGAAAAAAAAAAAAAAAAATCGACCCAATCTGTGTAATTTGTTGTTGCGGTTGGGTTACAACTTAATTTAGATTTTTTTTGTTTGGTTTGGCTTTTTCTTTTTTTTTTTCTAAGCTACGGTACAATTTATTTTTTTTTTCGATCAATAAATATGATTTTTCTGTTCGACACGATTTGAGCACACCAAATTGTTGCATACCCTACCAATACCCTGTAAATCTACAAATACCGAGGAGAATGTTTGAATATATAGTCAAAGTCAGTACAAATTACATTACATACCTCAACTTGGTCTTGGAGGAATTTTATGTATCCAATTGCCTCCTTAAGTACGGATGCTGTGTCTGTCTGCAATATATTCTCCAATTTTTGAATTTTTTTTTTTACATTAATTAGAAATTCCTCCGTAAGAAAAAATAAAAAATAAAAAAAAATTGATTTTTTTCAATAAAACATTGAAAGTGAAAGAGAATATCTGTCTTTTTATTGGGATTCTGAATATCTGATTAAAGTAAGAAACTATTAGGGCACGAGAACACAGCCTATTTAATTTGGATTTACTGGTTATGTTTTTCTCTATTATTAGCCTATATAGCAAATAATGATTATTGTTCTACGTAATGTACTATCAAATTATTGAGAGATGTTACGGAATCATTCTGTTGGGTTTGTAACCGTTAAATCAACTATCCCGACGGTTACATGATGATTTAATGGTTACAAACCTCAACAGAATGATTTCGTAACAAGACCATAGCATCTCTACAATTGTTATATATATCTGCATTCTAATTTACTAAATTAATTCTCCAAGTTTTATAAAAAATTATACTTCGATTTTGTCCCAAAAAAAAAACAATTACCTTGCCAAAAGGTGCTACCAACTGTTGAAGAGCAGCGATTCTATCTCCCAATTTTTCTTTTCTCACCTAAATTAGAAGAAATTGATCACATTTTCAATTTGGATATGTTTGGTAAAACTAGCCGATAAGTTAACTTATAGTTGATGAGTAATTTTCCACCTTATAGCTTATGACATATAGCTAAAAAGCTATTTTATATGATAAAAGTGTTTGGTAAAATTAGCTGATAAGCTAGCTGAAATAAAAATTTCAACGAGCTTGTTTCAAAAGCTACCGAAAGAAGTTTATGAGATCGTCCTATCAAACGAATCTTATTTAAATACTGTAAGCTTATAAGCTAAACTAAATAAGCTATAAGCTAACTTATTTATCTACCAGACATAGCCTTATTAGATGTTTTGACAGGTAGAACTCATAATCGTTAATTACCAAACAAGTCTATAATCGTTAATCGATTCTTGATCAATATATCGTACCTTGAAAGGCGGGCACGATGCGCGCCCTTCTAATCGCGATTTTTTGGTTGCATGTTGAATGGGGGCCTTCGCCTCCATTTTAGTCGAGCTCCGTTTGGCTTCGATCGCTCCATTACTAATCGGGTCGGGTATCTTTCAAAGATTGAAAAGGAGTAAAGTTAGTTTCATCAGAACAATAATATTATTGCATGAGCATTGGCCCCTCTTGTCAAAATCCATCATCAGTACAAAAATAAATAAATAAAGGACTCCAAATTTCTGAAAAAATATAAAGGTGCAATACATAATGCAAAAAGCTGAAGTAGCCTTTGAATGAAAAAAAAAAAAAAAA